ACTGGATTTCCGTAGAAGTACTAACACATTGTATTATAAGTCCCATGGGTTTCGAGTGGAATATAGGGTCTCAACATCACATTTCCTCTTTGCTATGTTCTCCCTAGTCCTCTTTAGCTGAACCAGCGATTACCAATGGTCTCACGTATCCTCCTCACGCTATCTTTCCCATGTCACACTTGAACAAACGCCCAACTTGTGGTTTCACATTCGGGTTCCACTCGAGCAATGGTGTGAAGCACGATGTTACCCAACGGTCTCCTCAGAGTGCTTCCAATCCATCTCCATTGACTTCTACATATTTCTTGAACAATAGGTTCTTCGTTGGTTCGGTCCCCAGGGTTCTTCGTCGCTCACCAAGTCGAGATGTGAAGATATACACTTTCTTATGAAATCAAATTTGGGGTTTATAAATTGCACAGTGACAGGTTGAAGAATTCAGCCTCTTACGGTCACGTGACTGAGTGGTAACTGGGCTCGATCCGTAAAAGGATTATTGTTATACATTTGTGAGAAATCATAAACGAAACAGCTATCCACTGTTTCCAGGATTTCAGTGGTTCTCTTACTGATGGCACTAGCAGCGTCATCAGCCCTGAGATGAGTGCTAAATAGTCTGAAAGAACTAGCTACTTATCAAGTGGATTTACTAATTACCAAATCGTGTAGGAAATAATCCTCTTCCTTTTATCTTCCTATAATTTGTTTTTTTGTTTAAATATTAATAATATCCTGCTTCTGTTGTTTTAAACATTTAGTCATAATTTTCAAGCACTCTAAACGCTCTCAGATATCTCTACATGCTTCAAAATTATCTCTGTCTTTTAAATGAAATAAGCCATGGAAAATCTCCATAGAGGGTTGTAATATTCTTTAAAAGAAAATAACATTAGCATTGGAAAGATTCGATAGTGTTATTTGCAGCCGAAGTTTACGCGGGAAAATGTGTTACATTTTAAACAGTTTGGTCGTAGGGCTATCTATTTTTCATGTCATTTTACACGAAAATCAAACAATACAAAGTCTCTTAAAATCTTAGAAAAAAGTAGTAAGAGATTTAAAAGTGAGGAAACAGAGTAAGCACTACTCTTGGTAGTATATTCAAATAAGCATTATCACAGCTCAACTCACGGCTTCTTATTCGAGTCCTGTTCAAGGACGTTTGATATCAGTCCACTGTCTCCTCATTGTATTTTGATTCCATCTCTTTGATTGGAAAGTAGTTGGTAACTAGTGTAATATGTCTTGTCCTTCGTTTACTGCAAACTGAGATCTACTATTAACAGAGAGAGAGAGAGAAGACCAGTAGTCCAGTGAAGAGTCTCCTTTTTGGCGAATTCATTTTCACAGCTGTACAACCATACTTGTATATGGTTATTTTTGTATGTGTGTGTACGTTAAATTTGTCAAACGAAAGTACATTTAGTAAGTTTTTGGTGGAGTTACGTAATACAAAAAGCGTTCAGAGGAATTGGATGTTGATATAAGAGGGAAGTAACAAAAGTGATGAGTTGTCACAAGTGATTGTTAGAGTGGAGTTAGGTAATAACATGGATAGTTTGATGAAAGAGTTTTGCTCAGGGTGTACATGGAAAAAAATAAAATACTAAATTACGTAATAGTTTTGAAGGAATACAAGAGTTTTAGGTAGTTAGAAAAGACAAGCAAACAAGCAAAAGTTAAGTCAAATCAACAGAGTTGTTACCATGATAGTAGAAGTGGCTGAATAATTTTCTTTTGTATGCATAGTTCTGGTTCTTCTAACTGAATGGCTAGGGCTTCTGCAATGCAAAGAAGACGGAAACGTATTGTTTTTGGCAGGTTGTTCTTCACTTTGTAGATTACTTTGAAGCTGGAGGCGTTTGTTGAGATGGAATGACCAGTGGTGATGATATGTTCGATTATTGCACTCCTTATACGGCCACTACTTCCTTTCTGCAGCCACGCTGTATAGTGTTCTTTGACCTTTTTTGACAGGATGTGCGTTGAACGACTAATGCACCTGGCTCCACTGCAGTCAAGTTTGCGATGTGGCCAAGATGCCACTAGGTGCCTCACCATCACAATGCACTCTCAACTGTTGATTTTAGATGGTTGCAGGCAACTGACAGGAAGCCCAGTCTAACCTATGTTTCGTGCTAGTTGGCACTCACCAGTCAGCAAGGCGTGTCTGCAACCTTTAAGGAACTGATGTCTCTTCTGTGACTAAAACCCACGTCATCCAGTATCGTAGTCAGAGACGTTACCGCTGACCTATTCGGGCTCGAATAGTCCTACGTGTAAGGCTTCCTACCGACGGTCTCCAACCATCTAATATCAACAGACTCCTTCCTTCTAAACATTCTCTTGGTAATAGGCTAATAATAATAACAGCTTTATTCTGGACAAAATATTTACACAATGCACAGAATTCTCAGAGTAATTTATCATTTTCTTCTCATTGAGGACCTTCAGGTCAAATAGAAATCTATAGAATTTCACGTTATGCGACACTGTTCTATTTGAAGCATAGAATAATCCCTTATGATACTTCTCCCTCATTCACATGCGCACCAGCAGTCTGAAAACCAATTAAAATTGTGCGCAAGTACACACTGATACTTAAGGACATAAGTGAATGGCTAAAACAATAAGAATCAAGCATTGTGTTGTATGGAAATTCAGGTAGCCCAGTGATTCAAGCAGGCCGCAAAAATGTTCTCGAAAAACAAACAATATAGCTAGCATTTTAAAAACAAAAAGGCATAACTAGACAAGTACGATGCACCAATGATTGGCAGAAATCTTTAATCCAAACTTCCCCTGAATGCTTCCAGTAGGTAAACACAAGTTACCATTGATGTTTCATTTTGAAAATGAAAGTGAAAGTACTAAACCATTTGTTCACCCAAACCTAAAACATTTTATTATTAAAACAACGAATATCACTTATTAATTACTGCTAGGGAAATTATAAATTTGTATGTATAATTTTTACTCAATTTTGAAAATTACTTACTCGTCATTTTGAGCAATTAAAGTGCAAATAAGTACATATCTTGTCGCCCACACACTCACACACACATATATCCCATGTCTTTCAGTGATCTCTATCTCTATTTCCTGGCTTCACTTTACAACAACAATGATGTAAAACCATTCATTTCCTCTATAATTCAATTTTTTCAACTATTTTTTCAACCTAAAATTAAAATGATATCAGTTAAACAGTTGATGGAATTTAATTCAGTAGTATCTGTAGATTGGCTTTACTTTTCCTGTATTCTATTCTCAAAAGTCCATTGGTTTAATTGACATATTGAATAGTTTGTGTTGTACGAAAGACAAAACAAAAAGAAAAGACAACCAACTTTATTAAAGATTATATCAAACGAATAAAAGTGTATATATAGAATCTGGGTCAATGCTTAGGATTCCATCCACTGGCCTTACGAATTACTAGTTTAGCGGTCTGTCACAGCTGAGTAACGTGATTTAGCTAGAAGAAATTCAGGTCACCATTTCACCGTGAGTAATGTTCAGCTGTCATGTACATCAGTTTTCACCTTCTAATTCAGTAATGATTAAGATTAATAGGAGTAACAGAAATCTGACTACTATCACCGATGATATTACTGATTGTGTTGAATCCAATCTGACCGCAGATTATACGGAGTGAGAAGACAGGAATAGGGGCGACAGATAAGAAAACTATCGGAGATTTGGACTTTCCATGGATGATTTATATCTCATACCACACAAAATCGAAGACCTATAGATGAAAACCAACAAGCTGACAGAAGAAGTAGCCAGAGAAGACAGGACTTCAAGTGGACACAGAACAGGCAGTCACAGCAACAACAACAAGCATCATTCATTATCGTCGGAAGAAATTTGAAGGAGATCACTACCTATACTTATCTAGGAAGCATCCTTCCAACTGCAGCACGGCACGGATGGGGATGTGAAAAATAGAACTGCAGATGCAAGACAGAACTTCATCAAAAGGAAATTAGTTCGGAAACCTTCTGAACTCAACATAAAGAACGACACTCGTATTGTCAACACCAAAGTTAAGTCAGTCATTCCTTCTGTATGAATGAGAAACTGGATTTGTGCGTCACTGAAAGCATTTCTAACAAGCTTTGGACTTTTATCAACAGCCGCCTTCACTGGCTCCATGCTAAACATCAGATATCCAGCTGGTCAAAGACAATTAGCGATAGAGTACTCTGGAAACTAACCATTTTACAATATATTGCTCAACAAAGGTGGTGAGGAAAATGGAGATGGATCCGAGATACATGGAGGAGGCCGTTGAGTAATGTAGCGCACCAGGCCATTGCTCAAGTAGAACCTGAATGGGAAACGACAAGATGACAAGATAGGCTTGCGAGTTATTCATGGGGCGGATCATTTGATGAGGAGATGAGAGCTTATTTGCAATTGTGCAACCAGCCAAAAAGAACTTTAGCGAACAGGATGAAACTGAGATGTCCTGCAGAAGCCATATGTTCCTCTAGGAATTCAAGGGAATTATCATAATATCAATAATAGGATTAGCTGGAAAAGACTCATCTGGGTAGCTAGCGTTATGATATGCCGATATTAACCTATCATCCCTTCGTTTGACAGCTGGTTAGGGTCACTGACGTGATCACTGCAGTGAAATGCTGACCTGGTTAACAATTAGGTCTCATAGCAGAGATGGTAGATTTCTGGACTAGCAATTTGGAGGCGATTGGTTCGAATTGTATCGCTACGCAGATTTTCAGTTTACCTTCAACCATTGCCCATTACCTAAATAATAGTCTGCCAACTCAAGACTACTTCATATTATCTCACCATCAAATAACATAATTAATACATTTATTCGTTTATTGTTATAGTTTTGTACAATATATGCATAGTAATTTATGAGTTGTTATTTTTCCTGTTCAATGTTCACTTATTCCTAATATTATTTTGCCTCTTTTTGTTTCTTGTTTTTTTGTTTTGTTTTACTTTACTTTAATGAATAGCTGATAATTCAATTGTGAATGATAAACAATTTAAAAAGATATTAGAAAATATTGCCAGTCAAATTGATATGATTGATAATGAATTAAAACAATTAGCTGATAAACCAGTAAGTGAATTAATTATTTATACAATTTTATTAATCATTCTCTTTTTGTTTGCCTTTTGTTGATCATTGATCATCATTGAATAGTTTAATCAAGTCATTTAGTTATCAAATGTATAAGATTGAATAACAATGGAATACTTACGTAATGTGAGTGCCTTTTGTTAGCAGTTAACAAACTTTACCCGGAAGGTTTCAGAGATAATTTTCAATGTTAATGGCTACTCTACAGTAGTCATCTTTAATATTTTGGCATACGTTAAGGTTGAAAGTAGTGAAATAATGACTCTGCAGATGGATACAGACGTGGTGATTATGCAGTATTGATGAACTACTACTCTATCAGTGTACACAACAGCTACCTGTTTCCCCAGTTCACTCTACTTAAGCGGGAACATGCAACAACGTGAAATGAGGAGTACATTTCAGCATCAGAATCGGTATAACTGTATCAGTATATTTACAAGAGGAAACAGTGATATAAGTATACATGGTCAGTGACGTGATAGGAGTGATAGAAGCTATCCACAAAAGGAAAATTCATGGTTTATCTGTCCACATATCACCTCCTCCTTTATAAGAGATTTATTATTTGCGGTCAACCCGAAACCATGCTGTCCATTTTCTGTACCTGAGCAACCGACGTCGATAGAATAGTATTCTGTTTGCTGAGTGAGAAGCTATGGCAAGCTTGAGAGAATCTTGTTGTTCATGAGGAGAGGGTTTGGCTTCAGCTTATGGTAGTGAGGCGCATGGCTCAGGTCTCTTTGCTAAGGAAACAGGCATAGCACCATCTTGGGGACGCATAGTCCGAATATTGACGAATTTTTGGCTGGGAGGTACTGATCGGGACTGGCATCTGAGGTGACTTCTTGAGGATGGCCGCTGTGTTCGTGTGCCATTGTGTGTAAGGCTGGCAAAGACAGTCTTTGTGTCCAGCATTTTTACAGTCTTCGCAGCGGTGCTGCTTATGAGGACAAAATCTTACCAAGTGCTAAGCGCCACAATGTCAGCGGAATGATGGACGTCTCATCTTTGGGCGTCAATTAGAATTACATTAATAACTGGAATGATTGACGTTTGAGGTAGGATCAGGGGGTATTTGGCCAGAGGTTGACGAAGAGGTTTTGAGAGGTTTGGAGAACTGCAATGATTTCAGGACCACCCTGAATAAATATAAATAAAAAACAAAAAGAGACCAGTGGTGTGACCAAAGAGGGATAAGAAAAACAAACCAAAGATTGACGAAATAGGTCAAGTCTTAAATAGAACAAATTTGTTGATGAATCTCCTGTTAGTCAGCTATCAAGATTATAAGAATGGCATAATGAGTAGAAAGTGAACAATCCAAAGCGACTGTAAAAAGGCAAGTCAGACATACAGAAGGTAGACTGTGAAACTGATCTAGTATTGCGAAAATTCCCATCCACACATTTAGGAATCAAAAGAAAGTTCGAGCAAAGAACATTCATTTTGATAAATTTCTCTTCCGGCTCTATAAAGACATATATTCTGGGATAATCGTCATTAACAATATTGGTGTTTTTTGAAATTTAAAGCAATTAGTTCCCTTAATGAATTTTGACAACACAATAAGAAGACGTAGTTTATCTGAAACGTGTAATGTATTTGCGCAGCACATTTCGGACATTTTGATCACCCATGTACTTGTCATACACAGTTTTATGGAAGGCAGGATGGCATGAATAATTACAATACAGGTCAGATTGTGTACAGGTTAAGGTCACAAATAATGGGTAGGGAGATGACGCAGAGGTGTGGGTAAGTGAAATAAAATCGATTTGTTAAGATCAATCGAATTAGAGTTCAGGAAAGATGCATAAGTTAAAACAAGCATAAAAATATAGTATCACATAAAATTAAGGAAATTTGTGCAACAGAAATAAAGGATAGTTAAAATATTGTTGGCCAATGTAAGGATAATGTCTGAACCAGTTTCTTATGGATACATAAGTTAGGTTTCTTAATGTGGATCTCAACGGCCTCAGCAATATGTAATAGATGAACTCTTGAGGTAAAATTAAGATTAGTCGGTATGTGGTAGGTATTTTTGAAAGCCTTGTTAACATCACTTTTGTGTTATATATTCACGAGATGAGATTTTTTTGATTATAGCTTGAAACCACACAGTATTTTCGGTACGAGTACGGAATTTTCAGCATGTGATATCGGTAGCCCAAATTTTGCAGGCCGACCATAGATATAAGGTGTGCGTCGGCAATGGGTCGAACCCCGGACCATGTGCATGGTCGGCGAGAGTTTTAACCGCTGTGCCACCGACTCAGTCTAGAACTATGAATTGACTTTGTTTTTCCCTTACTTAACCAGGCAGGATGGTGTTCGGGAATCCGACGATAAACATGCCTAATTGTACGGCCTATGTAACTGGCTCCACAGAAGCAGTCAAACGATAGATACACATAGAAGAGGTGAAATTGGGTAGTTTATCTTTAACTCCCGAATGAAGAGACAGCATACTTCAGCGGCACTGAATGCTCCTTTTACTGCAGTCCTTAGGCTACTACCACTACTATCACTACTGTTAACAATTCACTTTCATATCTAACTGTATGGTTATTGAAATCATTGAGGCAGACTGAATTAGAGCTGAGAAGACTTTCAACGCGTCGGTGTTACTTAGTTCTCATTACAAGCAAACTGTCGAAAACAACAAGAGAACATCCCAAAAATGTAGGAATATTGTTATTACTGCTATATGAAGCTGGAAGTTATTTATCTGCCCTGAAAACAAGTGTTTATGTAATACATCACATCACGCTTCAATTATCCTACGTCAAACACTACTGTCACCATAGCTAACAATCTGCATACTCATAAATATTTTGTATTCCGTGTTTTAAATTATAAATTTTCAAGTGAAGTTTATGACTTATGAATGAGGAAAACAAAAAAAACTGAAGAAGAACAATAATAATCATAAGAAGCCAGTTAGCTGGAAAAAAATAATATAACAGTAATAATATAATTAGAAAACTAGTAGTAATGAAGTTCTCACTGGCACACCTGGATAATTATTCTGCGAGAAATGTGGAGAAAATGTCGCCTAGAAGTTTATTTCAAAGTCATCATCACTTGAAAATAATATTTTTGTTTTTCAAATTACTTTTATGCAATTCCCAGTTGACTGGTTCTACTCAACTGACATGTAGATCTCCAGGTATAAAAGTTATATCGACCGTGCCTCACTAGTGGTAGCTAGTAGTGGATTGATTCCAGGTCACTGCGTTTCGTGCTCCATTTTTGGTGGCTATTCAGATGAATACACCTATTTCGCAATTAGTATTGGTATTCCATATCGCTAGCCCATATAAGTCAGTAGCAGAGTCATTGCCTGAAGCACTTGTTGACGTGGGCTCGGATCTCAGAAAGGAAATGCGTTCAATATAAAAAAGATTTACATCTAGACATTTGGAAAGAAAAAGGACTGAGCATTTTTATTACAATACACAACAATTTACCAATCAAGTGGCGATATGTTTGTTAACAATAATTAATTAGTCAGTGTCAAAATGTCAATGGGGTGATAATTAACGAAGAAAATTAATTACACACAATTAAAAGGTAGAAATGGTTGCAACACATGGATTGCTTAGCGCATAATTTTGGGAAAAATGAAGAGAAATTAGGGAATAAGCGTGCGCTCAAGTTGATTATGTAACAGATTGTTAAAAAAAAGTAAAAAGATTTTGACAGTGATAACTTGTAACTAAGGATGAAGTAGTCAGAAAAATAATAAAATAATTTGGACAGTTATAATGTTTAAAGGTCTAGGGGGGAAGTGAGAGAAGTAATACGGTTTATACATTCATGTAACGATGGCCGAGGTAAGGGAAGTGGCTGTAAAATTTTCTTCTGAACATTGATATAAGAATAAAACTTGTGCACTGTGATAGAGTGTAATTCCATTATGGGTAGAATTTATTTTGATAAGGTCTCACAGTGTTATACAGTAACATTTACTGATGACGTTTCAAGCACAATTTATTGCTCATAATTATATCAACATGATTATGAGCAATAAACTGTGCTCGGAACGTCATCAGTAAACATTACTGTATAACACTGTGAGACTTTATCAAAACAAAATTTACCCATAATGGAATCTCTTCTAAGCACACAGGTTTGGCTTCTTCTGGTGGATTCCTGTTGCTTCAGATGTTTGTGGAAGACGAACTCCTAAAGCAAAATTAAGATTAGTAGGAATGCGATAAATAATTTAAAATGCTGTATTAAGATGAACTTTATGCTCGCCATGTACAAGGTGTGCCAGAACAGAGCTACGAATAGATCGTGTTTGTCTCTTAGTCCCTTCAAGGACACAGATACGCATTTCTGACTGGTGAGTGCCAACTAGTACAAAACCTAGATCCTAGATTTCCTGCCCACTGCCTGTCACCATCTAATTTCAACAGTTCACACAGCACCTTGATGGCGAGCCACCTAGTATGGTAGCAACATTGCGAACTTGACTGATAGCATTTATTTTGCACCAAACAAAGGACTATACACATAGCACTAGTTAGTGTTCAGTGAAGGAACTTGCATTCAGGAGGAGGCTAACAGGTGCATCCTGCTAGTAAATCTCAAAGAAAACTAATAATCGATAACTAATTTAACATACTTTGGATTATTATTATTATTTGACTTTAGTTGGCTTGCATCAGAAATGGATTCGATGAAAATTTCGAAGAATTACAAGTAACTGTTAATCAAATACTACCGAAACTATTGACTGATGAAGTGCAAATCGTACTGGAGAATTTACGTCAAACAACTGGACTGTATGCTTCAGACCAAACTTTAACAAAACATGCCAATGAAATTAATGAATTAGCTAAAAAGTAATCATTTCTTATCAGTGTGTCTGCTTACTGACTGACTGATTGATTAATTGATTGATTGATTGATTACCTGAGTAATTCGTTTAAATATTGATTTTTTATGCCTAGGGATAATAATCTTGTTTGTCATGATAACACACCAGCCCACCACTGAATGTTGAACCAAGCAAAACAGCAAACAATTTTCATCTGCGTAAATATTGACTGAACTCGATGTAAAAAACACTACACTGAATGGACATTTGTCCGTGTGTATGTGTCTATTTCTTAGAAGGTAGTGATTTCTATGATGTAACTTGAAATTAGTCGAGCCCCTACAAACAGACAGCTAGCTGTAAATTAATCCACTGCTCACTAAAGACTCTTCACTAGATGAATGCCCTTCATTTTTAGTGAGACATCATGGCTAATGGTGTCCACCTTGTTTTGTTGGACTAGATGCTTGTTGATGGTAAAGTGCAATTTCTCGCGTCGACAGAAGTTAGAATCAACACGCCGGGGAATTCCAACAGGCTTGCTTTGTAATCTGAGGGTTCTGGGTGGGGTCACATGTAAATAAGGCTGAAGAGTCCCGAACTGGGAAGGAATAGCAGTTATTTAATAATGATTATAATCAGACTCTGGTATTATATATATATATACGTATATATATATATATATATATATATACATAGAAACAGAAATGATGGAGAAGGCTTACAGCTCAGGTTGATGATATTTGTGTAGTTATATTCTTTGCCCTAGATGGTTTAATGCAAAGTTTATGAAGACTTCATGTTGAAGTCAACGGTGAAGATGTTGTCTACAACGACGATAAAAGTCCCTGGATTATGCCATCTAGCTGACAGTAAAACAATACCGATTTATGTGGAAACATTTACTTTCTGGTTCGAATTTAAAATAAAGGACAAATTTTCAAAATTTATTTTGTAGGCATTTGATTTATTTCAAGTGTGACCACCAATTGATGTCATTTTGGGAACCGTTGATAACCGATAGGGGTACTGAATGGCTGTTTCATCTTAGTTTGGGACTTGTTGGCAGTACACACCCACTCGGGTTCCAGCCGCTAAATTCACGAGTTGGTAGAAGTTAGAATTCATGGGTTAGCCAGTGAGTCGGATCCCAATAGTTGGATGATCTACGAGTGTGGCCTGTAACCGGAAGGTCCTGCGTTAGTATCCCGGTGGGTAATTACTGATGATGAGCTAAAAAGTATCAGCTTTCCAGTACTCCCTGATTTTCAATGTTTCTCTAAGTGATATCAATCTTTGGTGAAACTTAAAGAATATTAATGAATTCATCAAATTCCTGTCAACCGAATACTCTGTTTCATAGTAAACCATCTTTTAGACAATGAACTTAAGTATTGTCCTTGTCAAGTCATCCACAGTTGTCAGAAAACTAAAAAGTAAATTGAAACTTTCAGTCTTAGTGGTTGAAGTGACTAGACATTTATGAACCAGGTCTCTGTCTACAAATGCAGACGGAAATCCCTTTCTTTTCTCCTGCTGTTATTCTTCTTTGTGTTGCTTTTGCTTGAAAAAATAGATTGAATGAAAGAAGTGAACAATTACAGAAACAAGTGAATAGTATCACTCAACTCCTGGGTAATTCAACGAATAAACTGACAGAATCTAAGGGATTAATTAAAAGTTCCAAAGAAGCATTACAAAAGAATATAAAGAAGTAAGCTTACCTATTTGTTAGCCTGTTTGTTTATCGTTTCAGGTTTCGTGTATCTACCTATTGTCATATATATATATATATATATATATATATATATATATATATATATATATATGTAATCGTTATTCCCTTCGCTTCCGAGTGTAGCACAGGACTTCAACCATAAATCTCAATTCCACCCTGTTCCATCACCTTCTCGCGCGATTTCACACTCGGACACACACCCAGCTCGTCGTTTCATATTCGCGTCCCACCCGAGGTAGGGCCTGCCATGCGATGTCATCCAGTGGCCTCCTCAGAATGTGTTCGATCCACTTCCATTTTCCTATCCACATTCTTTGAGTAATAGAATCTTCATTGGTTCCTTACCAGATTTCCCTGTTGCTAATTCACTCTGGTCAGCTGGTCAATTGATCTTTATTAAGGAGTCAGAGAAGGCAGCTGTTGATAAAAGTCTGCAGCTGACTGTCAGAAATGCTTTCCGTGACGCGCCCTACAAGTTTCTGACCCATGTAGAAGAACTGACCGACTTAACATTCGTGTTGAAAATCCGAATGTCATTCTCTATGCAGAGGTGGAGTGTAGGAGATTTCCAAAGTGATTTCAGAATGATGAATACTTTCTTCTTTTACCAAATCTGGCTGGTTTCGATATCCACATCCATCTGTCGTGCCCATAGTTGAAATGGCGTTGTCTAGATGAGTGAGAGAAGTGACCTGTTTTGAATTTATTCCGTTGATGCTGATTGGTGCTTTTTGTTGTTGTTGTTGTTGATGATGAGCAGGGTCGTCTTCATCACCTCCGTCTTCTCTACTCTCACTTGAAGTGATGTCTTCGATGCCAGTTTCTCCTGCGAGTTTGTCGGTTTTTGCGCATAAGTCTTCGATTTTGTGTGACATTAGACAGAAATCACCCATAGTATGTCTAGATCTTCTAGAGTCTCTTTTTATCGGTCCAACGTATTGTTGTCTTCTCGCTGCCTGTGCACAGTCTTCTGCATAATCCAGTCCGTCAGAAAAAGGAATATCATCGGTAAGAGTAAGCAGACTTATCTTACTCCTGTATGCCCTTGGAAGTCTTCGCTTCTATAAATACCCTATCATTTTTGGTGTGTCTTTTGTTTAAAATTTCTACATTCTCCTCACCAAGTTGACGTCCTCGATTGTCTATATGCATCAGTATGAAAGGATACGTATCGTGTCTTTCAACACTGTAAAAACATTTTTTGCATTTAGAACGACAAGTGGGACAAGTGGAAACGATTCAAAGTGCGAATCGTAATAGTAATAATGATAATCGTAGTAATGAGCAAAAGGTACATAGATTAACTAAATAAACAAAATGAATAAAATATAAAAAAATAAAAAAATAAACCAATAAAAGTCCATCCATCTACGTCCAAGGCAGAAGTGTCTTTTCACAATTAATCTATATTTTTGAATTCTGAGTCGTCCACTTTGACCAATGTAGTGCTTATCATAACTGATGCAATTTATTTTTTAAGTGGTATTGATCCTATTTTTGGTCTGCACAATACTGAAAGAAGTGATTGTGTTGGCTTGTGTGCTATGTCTACCTTCAGTAGTTTTAGTCTTATAGACTAAACGTCTGCAAACAGCTGCATATAAAAAGATAGTAATTATTTTGCTTTACTACTTAAATACCAACAGTAGTAATAGTAGATATTTAAATTCTAAATCAGGTGCTCGGGTGAAAATAAATGCTAATAACACTTTTACGAATACGTTAGGTAAATAGGCTTCTTATTTATTAAATTACATGCAAGAATAAGTATATATGTTATCATTAGACAACTGTACTAAAGTTCTATGTCGAAAACCGACCGACCTCTTTCTAAGTGCCAACTGATGCATGTATAATCTCCTTTTTATACTCCTATGGTTAGTGAGAAGAATTGACTACAAATCGGTGAATCGCTTGTTGTACAGCACCAGGCATGCTTACACTATAAAACAATTCTATCACTAGCTGTAACTTCCAGCTACTCACTGGCACTGCAATCGAGCTTCGTAGTCGATTTCACAATAACCTGATGTCAGCTAAAGATGCGAGATAGATTGAAAAGTTAATTGACATATGCTATTTTTATTGTTTGGCATTGACTACTGACCACTTCAAGTATAGCCGACTCTAGAAACATCTAGGTTCATGGTTACACATTGATTAACAGGAAGGGCTTTTCTACCAATTAACTTCTGTTAACTTATTTCCTAATCGAAGAACTGTTGTCGGTTAAAAGTGGAAAAACAATAGACTCCAACCTTCGCCTTCCATGGACTACTTGACCTATTTAAATATGATTGATCATTAGTGTGTACTTTTGTTTTAGATAACCGAGTAATTGTCGTGCATTTTATTTTATTATTATTGTTAACCATGTTAGTTGTAAAGCGGTTGTAAAGAAACTACGAAATGATATCATCTCATGAAATTTATCTTCTAATTGCCTTATTCAAACTTACATAGTATTTCGAATGACGGCAAAGCTAATGAATAGAGATCCAAGCAGTGCGAAAGCACGGATGACCTTGAGGCGACCAATCAGAATAACCACTGAATTTTACACTTAAATGTCATTTATTTACTGGAAAACCACAGCTAACAATTATGAACAGTGTAAAACTATTTACTAGAAAAATACACATAATGAAAACAAAACGCCCTAACCCTAATCGTAATCCTGAAACTAATCGTAACCCTAATGAGCTATCAACACATTATCCAAACACTACTTGAAAACGAGATCAGGATGAAATTTGCACCTCAGTCCATGCACAATTATCATGTTGGTGCTACAACAAAGGTAGGTCTCGTTGTTCAGCGAATAGCACGCAACCAAGGTCATTGGTGCGTTCGCACCCCGTGGTCAGTATTCTTTAACTTGTCCAGAATGACTCGAGCGTAAGTATGAAAGTATGGAAGAGGAACGCTGACCTGTGACTATAAGGATATCACATCATATGCTCCATAAAACAACATACATCTAGATTCGAAACACAAAAATGTTCTACCTTCCGTGTGTATCGAACAATTCAGTCGCCCCTGTGGTAACAGCTCTGCAAGGCGTATGGTAAAACAGCCACATTTTTACTCGGTGTAGTAAAGACAGATTAAAAAACTTCTAGAGAGAAGTTGTGACCAGTGGGGTAGAGCAGGTCGGATATGAGGAGAAATACTCGCCACCGATGACACTGGCTAGTGCCAGTCGTGCTATATTGTGAATTGATGGAAGCTGGAATTTATGGAATGATCACTGGATCGGATCCCAGCAGCTGAATGGTCTACGACGTCACCTTGTGTTGGAAAGCCTTTGGTGGGTGCATACTGTGAAGAGTCCCAAACTAGGACTAAAAAGTTATTCACTACTCCCTGGTTTTCCAATGGTTCTCTAACCGATATCAGCTCATCATGAAATCCTGAAGCCAATCAAATCAAATCCCAACAGACCAACACTTAAATTTAAAAAAATTTTAATTGTATTATGATACTGTCTACGATATTCCTCTTATCACACCTGCTAACATTAATTATTTAATACTAACATGGCTATAATTATGTGTGAAAAACTATAGGGCAAGAAACTCAACTTAGTTCCCTTTCCTGCTGGTATATTGCTAAAGGGGAAAAGAGAAGACATTCAGCGAAGAGACTCTTTTCGGCGAATTCATTCACATAGCTGTACAATCGCATTTATATATAAATATTTGTGTGTGTGTACATGAGGTTTGTCAAGTTTTGATAATTGATTAGTTAATACAAGAATGATGTAGTATAGAGACAAAGTTAATCAGACAGCAACTAAAGTAAGATTGAGTTAAAAAGCTAGATGCCACAGGAGGAACCGACGAGGATGTCAAATCGAGAATCCGGAAGGCGAGAAACACATTCATCAACCTGAAACCAATCTGGAAATCTTCGTCACTCAGCACCAACAACAAAATCTGCAAAATCTGTAGTTGTTGCTTTGTTTAAACCAACAACAAAATTCGGATTTTCAATACAAACATCAAGTCAATTTTGCTTTACGGATCAGGAAGTTGGCGGGTCACCAAGAATATTTTCAACAGGTTGCAAACCTTTATCAACAACTGTCTTCGCTGGCTTTATACTGAAGATCAGATGGCCGGAAAGAATCACAAACAAGAAACTATGGGAACAAACGAAACAGGAACCAATCGCCCAACAAATATGCAGGAGAAAGTGGAGATGGATTGGACAATCGCTTAGGAGGCCGTTGGGTGACATCGCGCGTCAGGCCATCACCCGAGTGGAACCCGAAAGGGAAGCGGCGAGTGGGACGTCCACGGGTGACATGGAGGAGATCGTGTGAGGAGGAGATGAAACAGTATGGAATAACATGGACGCAAGTGAAAAGTACAGCACAAGGCAGAAGCAAGTGGAGGCGTGCAGTTGAAGCCCTATGTTCCACTAGGAACCCATGGGAACAATAATAATAATAAAATAAAAAGCTAGATGACGTAATATAATTGGCTAAAATGTTACAACTTAGGTCAGGATAGCAACAGAGGTAATTACAGGTAGAGATTAAGTAGAAGTGAAATTGAGTGAATAAGTTGGATGACGTAACATGAATGACTAGAAACTGAGCGTTGTTCAAGTCAGTAACAGTGGTAGTGAGGTGTAGAAATTGAATCGGGTGGGGGTAGAGAACAAGAAAGTTGAAAATGTAAAATGTTACAATTGAGAAGACAAAATAATACTAATGAAGAGACAGAAGAAAAGATTAGGTAGAATTTACATGTCGGCTAATAAGATAGATTACGTCCATTGCACGTGTAATGATTGAACGAACTTCTTCTGTATGCAGAGTTCAGGACTTAGCAAGTGAATCGCCATTGCGTGGAAAATTCAACTTAAAGCAAATACGAATCATGAAGAATGTGTTCGTCTGAATCCAATTACAAAATACTGTGAAATGTCAGACGATGCTGGTGGTTAGTTATAATAGATTTATCCAATGTGGGGAAGGGAAATCGACAAGTCAGTTCAAGTCCATTATAGATAAGATTTTACTTTGATAAATCATACAGTGTTATACAGTAATATCAGCTGATGACGTTTCGAGCACAAACTATTGCTCATAACTGAATCCTGGTTCATTGAATCTACACGCAACGCATGCAACAGAAATGACTCAACGCGAAAACCAGAGATATGGAAAACTTTATTACCAGTCAAATCAGAAGAGGATAATAAATAATCTTAAAATTCTATTTCAATTCACGCACAGTTACTTATTTTGACCATAGAAACACTCGTCTTATTTCCCATCTGATTACATTTGATCAATAACACTCATATTATTATCTCTGAATGTACATTATCCTATATTGATTTTTGTTCAAAGGTCTAATCAGTTTCACTCATGTATATAAATAAAGGAAAAAAGTTGTGTGAGTGACTCCATGTGATTATGAGTAACAGTTTATGCTCGAAACGTCATCAGTTAATATTACTGTGTAACACTGTGTGATTTATCAAAATAAAATCTTATCTATAATGGAGTTATACTCTACCACACTGCCCAAGTTTTATACTTATATCAAGTCAGTTCAAGGTTATAAAAGAACAACGTTAAAACTCATCTTAGTAATATTACCTAATGCTAGTATCAGAGACGGTACCCAGGATCTCCAGGTTACAAGGTGAGATAGTTAATTATCCAGTAATTGGTAATTATCAGTCACAACACACAACACTACGGACTCAGCTGGCCGTGTCTGTTCACTAGCACTTCAGAAACTCATCGCATGGTTTGTGGCTCCTCACTGATGAACATTCTCGAAGAAGGAGGACGAAACAGTTCCCCTTAGTTTTAGTTTTTTTGGTGATTCTCTAACTAAATGTCAGTTTATGAACAAATGAACAGCAGGAATACGATTTTCATTTTTCCAAGTAACATTAATTGCTTCGTCTCCTTATTTTTCCCCTTTTCACCATTATCCAATTTTTATTTATAGATCTGATGAAATTGAACAGAACAGTTTACAACTAACTAATCGTATTGAAAATGTTAAAGATTTAATGCAAAAGTTACGTGATCAAATTTATTTAGCCAATGCAAATATCGACCGTCTACCAGATATAATGACTCAACTACGTCAATTAGACAATGTGGCTAGTACATGGATGGAGGCTTTACAAACGGTAAGCGGGAAACACAACTTTTGAATAAAAATAATAATAATAATACCAATGACAAAGACAGAGTAAAGTTGTATTACTCATTCTTAAATACTTTTACGGGGATGCTTTTTCTTTGTCTTAATTAGTACACTCAACAACAACAAAAAATAAGTCAAGTGTGGAAAGGAAAAAGAAATAGTAGTAGTAGTAGTAGTAGTAGGGAGAGTTTATGCATAATAATAATAACAATAATAATAATAATTGTCATAGTGTCGGCATTGTGTCACGGCATTCAGCTTTATCGGTGTATTCACTGTCTTACTTTTCTCTTTCCATAGATCAGTTCTATTTGAAAGGCAGTGAGTACATCAAAGACTGACTATCAGTATCCGGTTAGCATTACTCTGCTTGTTTTCGTCTGCCTCTGTGTTTTTGCTGTCTGGATATTTTAGGGTTTTTTTTAAATATTTCAAGACAGTGAATGTATCTTTGGTTTAGTTTTACAAGCATTTGATAACTGAGGAATTTCATCTCTTTAGACTGTTAACTTTACTGTACTCTCTGCCGCTGTTGCTGTTGGTATTGTTTTTTTCTTGACTTGTTATACTGTTGCGAAACTGTGATTCTTATTGACTCAAATATTCAGTGATTAATTTTCAAGTGTTGATTTGATGAGGGTGGGTGGGTGATTAGCTATTTCCTACTGTTACTGCTACCATGATGTGGTTGGTAGTCAGACTTAGTTAGCTAGATATTGCAATGAGCCAATGAGCTATAATCACTGGAATAAATTTTCCTTCAGGTCATCTTGCTAAGAAGTTTTGTTTGGACAACGGTTAGACTATAGGCAGTCATTGTTATGTAGTGGTTTTTCACACCATGCTGGGGAGTGGGGTCTGTAGGCGGTGTCTGTTTCCTTTGAACTACTGGAAAGCCGAACATACTGCCTTTCTGCTCTGTAGAAGAGAAATGGTTGGTCGAAACAGTTTGTACATCCCGACTTGCCTAAAGGTGTACTGTTGACATAACACTGCATGCGAACGTACTTGGCAATGAATCGTACACATTACTGCATTGTGTGGCCGCTCATTCTTTGATGAATGTACTCAAATCTTAAGGTATTATTATGCACAGAAAAAAACATCTAAATTGGATGACACCTTATCTACACTATTTATGCATGACATACAAAGAAAAACCAAAAATGTTATTATTTGTACTGCCTTGGGTTGCGAGTGGAACAGCATATTTCGATTTTGTCCCCCTCAACTGGTCTCACAGTCACCAATAGTCTCTCATGTGCTCCTCACACGACCTCCTCCATTGCACCCTCTGACAAACGCCCAACTCGTCGTTTCCCATTTGGGTTCCACTCGAGCGATGGTTTAGCGCGCGATGTCATCCAACGATCTCCACAACGTGTGTCCGATCCATTTATATTTTCCTTTGCATATTGGCTGAAAAATAGATTCCTGACTGGTTCATTCTAAGAGTTTTCTATTTCTAACTCTTTCTCGTCGGCCATCAGATCTTCAGTATGGTGTCAGTGAAGGCGGTTGTCGATAAAAGTCTACAATCTGATTTGAATGCATAGTTACACATTAAAAATAACATCTAAATTGAGTGACATCTTACCCAAACTATGTATGTGTGACGTACCAAGAGAAACCGACATGACTAGCTTAAGATCTTGAAAAGACGAGCTAGTTGAAATATTTTGTCACTATTCACGGAGAATACTGTTGTGATTGATCATTCAGTAATTATACCTTAGGATAACTTAACTGGCTATCGACCGTCCCTTTAGCCAACAGTAATTATTCTCTATTTGATATAAATACCTCTGTGTAGCATTTAACTATAACCTACTTTACATCTGTGAAACATGACCAGCGGAAGTAGAAATTATAATAAGATTAAGTTCTTTGAAGCATTCTTCACGACAGTTGAAAGTACAGGTAAAGGAGAGGAAGACATATGTAGTAACTGAGTGGGTTGAAACGCTGGTGTTACGATACTGAAATGCAACAGCCAACTAAACTGAATATCTAATACAACTGTTGCTTCTCAAATACTTTTTGTTTCACTGAACCACGGAAATATCACGAGATAAATACTAGCCGGTGGCTATATGAACAATTCTATTAGACAAGAATAGATCATATATATAAGATCAAGGACTTTGTATGAGGCCAGAGACTACTCGGCATAACTGCCATGCCAATGTGCCAGCAAAATTATAGAACTGAAATACTAAACCTATCTATGCAGTCAATAGTAGGTTCCTACCCCTATGTTAATAGATTAGAGATAGTGAATCTTCTAAGAATAAGAATGATAGGATATGTGTATGTTGTTTACTCTGAATTACTGCCTTCCTTGATGAGCAGTAGTAGGAGTGATCAAACCGAAAAAGAATAGCGTTCTATTTAATATCAGCTGTGGACATCTAGAAAGATTTGAATAGGCGAGTTGGACTCTTAGAAATGTCAAGGATCAGTGATTATAATTTATTAGAAAAATGGCCTAAAGTTATTCACAGTGACACAGATGTGTCTAGTCTCCATCATCCTTGGTATTATAAACATTGTCATTTATCAGCATTTCTCCTATCCTCTCTCAGGCATGCTCATGCTTGTTTATTTTCCTCTTATCCTCTTCTAATTTGTGAATATTATTTGGAGTTCAGTGAACTGTTACACTATGATAGACCATGTGCTTGTTCCAGTGCTTCAATCTAATATACAAATAAATAACTGGATACATATTATTATGTCATTATTTCTCCTCTGATACACCTCGAATATTTATTAACCTAATTCAACAACTATATGAAAATGCCGCATTTCAAGTGATCCAAAACAGAAAACTCAGCAAAGCCTATGAAGTAAATACAAGAGTAAGATAAGGCTAAAGAATTCAAACAACTCAACCACCACTTTTATATTCTGAAAAGTGTTCAGTTGAAAACAGTGGAATAGGGACATCGTAGCTGGACACAGACGCGATGACCACGCAATACCGCTGAGCCACTATATCAACGTACACAACATTATCATGCCCAGTGTCTGTTATCATATCTCTCACTGATTATTTTTTTCTCCATTACATTAATTAATTATAAAAAAGTGGATTAAGAAAACTCAGAGAAGCGACTGGAGTGAAGACAGAAGTAAGACAAGACTACCTACTATCACTCATGATATTCCTAATTATGGTGAACTGAATCATGCGGAAGATAGTGGCGAGTGAGACAACAGGAATACGTTGGACCGATACGAAGATTCTATAAGATCTTGAATTCTGACGGATGACTTTTCTCTGATGTCGCATAAACTCAAAGACTTACACACGAAAACCAACAAGTTGTCAGAAGAGGCTGCCAGAGAAGACAGGACTTCAGGTGGGCATAGTGAAGATAGAGGTGATGAAGATAACTAACCAATGACAACACCAACAAGCGCCAATCACTCACTATCAACGGAACAGATTTGAAAGAAGTCACATTCTTCAATTATCTAGGCAGCATCGTTCCAGCTACAGGCACACCACATGGATGACTATGTCAAAATGAGAATCGAAAAGGCCAGGCAGATCTTTATCACCCTGTAATCAGTATGAAAATCTTCTCCACTCCATTGCAGCATAAAGAACGAAATTTAGATTCTCAACACCAGTATTAAGTCAGCCAGTTCTTTTATGTTGGTCAGAAACTGGCGTGGGTTTCATTGAAAGTATTTCTAACAAGCTTCAGACTTTTATCAACAGCTGCCTTCTCTGGTTCCACACTAAACATCAGATGGCCGGCCGGCTAGGGAGAATTAGCAACAGAGAACTCTAGAAACGAACCAGTCAAGTATCTATTGCTTAAATAATTTTCCGAAGGAAATGGAAATGGATTGGACATACTGTGAAGAGGCCGTCAGGTGACATCACACGCTAGACCATACCTCGAGTGAGACCCGAAATGGGAACGATTAGTCCGGCATGCGTCCGAATGTGACATGGAAGGGGTTGTGTGAGGAGGAAACGGAAGCTTATGGGCAATCATGAGTCTACTGAAGAGGACAGGGTGGAATGGAAATGTACAGCTGAAGTCATATATTCCACTTGGAACCCAAGAGAACAATAATACTATCTTCCTAAACAGTTATAAAAGATACACTTTAGGATGAGAGGTTGTTTAAACTTTTCAGGAACTTGACTAATATTAGAGTTGCGTGACATAATATAACTAAGTGTGCAAGGAAAATATAATAATGTGTCTAGACAGTATTTTTCGGGCAAAACAATACACCTTTTTAACTGAAGTCAACAATTATAACTTGATTTCGTTTAGTTTAAAGCGAATCCAATACTAATTCAATAAAAATGCAACACCCAACTTCAAGGTCTTTGTAACTATTAATTTGAGTTATGTAAAAGAAAGAAAAACTGCTTGATTGAAATCTGTGAAGCAAGAGAGTCTCATAATTTATCGTGAGACTGTCTCAGATAGCGTGAGGACGAGGACTGACGACAGAATGAAAGGATAGATCTCGGCAGGACTCAATCCAGTGGCCTACGTCACCTAGTGGAGAACCCGCTCGAATTCTTCTGAGACCCAGATTTCCACCCATCGTTCAACCTTCATTCATTGTGTAAATGTATGATTGATGAATATAGAAGACAAGGCTGAAAAAATCCTGTTTATTCTGTCAGACAATAAGTTACAGATACAGTGTGGTTGGAAATAGTCGAATCTTTTCAGATCAAATCAATGAGAGTTAAATGACTGGTATATGTATACATATATATATATATATATGTATATCTGAAAAGCTGTAGTGTACAAGCAGCATAAAATTAAACTGGTTTTACAAAAGACGCCTTTTCTGTTTCATGAATAAGCATAGGTCTATTTGATATTGCTAAACTTGAGGACATGGAATGTCCACACCATGTCTGAGTCTCGTTGTCTAGCTGACAAGGCTGTTCAGATTGCAAAAGATATGAGACGTTATGGTGCAGTGCTGCTAGGA